GTCGTAGGATTTATGACGAACGGATATCCAAACTCAATCGCGAGTTGGAGATGCTTACCGGTCCTAGCCCGACGCATCCTGAGTACTTGCGGCAGATTGAGTGTGTGCAACGTTACCGGGACGCCAAGATCAAATACGAGCAAAACTTGTATCGATACCGCATGAAGTCACTCATGCACAAGGGCCTGGCCGAGCGAACACAGGCCCATAGCACATACTACCAGCGGATTCGAGATGCGCGCGAGCGGCATTCAAGTGCAGTCAGCAAGCAGTTCTATGCCATCCAGCATGATCGCTTCAAGACAGACGAGCTTAGCCCGCACCATATCATCCCATTCCCCACCCGTCGGTCGCAGCAAATCGCACACCAGACCGCATACAACCAGGAAGTTTCAATTATGGCCGGTGTCGCCAAGTATGTTGGCTTCCCAGCTGCCCCGTCCTTAATGGGTGCACGGCCCACCGAACTTGATGATGATCTTGAAAAGATGGGGGTAAGTCATATTCATATTTCTAAATTTGATTTGTTGCTGATAGCAGGGTATAGATTCCTATTGAGGCTCGCGCTTCGGCACCACGGCACTCATCAGCAATGCCACCACGGGCCAACATGTCTACCATGTCTTCTAATGCCTTCCGTTCGGCCGAAGAAGCATTCCTAGAACAAACACCCTGGGCAAACCCACAACATCCCATCCATCAGCAGCAGCAACAGCAGCAGCATTCGCAGCTACCTCGGCCACAAGGTCGTACATTTGAGCATCCACAACCGTCATCATATGCAACGCCAGCCGCTCAAAAGCGGATGGTAGACATCAACGCACCCAATGGATCTGCATCCACCATTCCGGAGAATGCCTCTGCTGCCAACTCATCAGCCAACAATACCCCTTACGGCATGGAGCACGATCCAAGGCATCAAACGCAAGGGCCTTTCCGCAACCCAGATTATGATGCCGATCATCGGAAATCCGGGTTCCGGTCACTGAGTTCATCTCCCTTGGATGTGCGGAAATCACAGCCGCATCTCACCCATGCCCTCGAACACCGCTCTCCCCTTACCGACGCCCCATCCCACAATCACATCTTCTCTCCACCTTCTGCACGCCAAGGCTTGTTTCAGCCTTCAGCCACTCTCCAACGGGAGACCTCTCCATCCCTCCCGTCTAAACCTGTTGATGTGGTACATTACCGCGCTCATCAGTCAGGAATTTCCACAGGGTCTGGTTCAAATCACATGCCTAATCGATGATCGATTAACTTTGGCGATTGTTTCTGAAATGACTGGTCAACACCCCCCTTAATACCCCGAGAGTCTCCTAACCTCTTTCATGCATCTTTTGCACTTATCTTCTGTGATAAACCCTATGTTTTTCTACTCAGCTCTTGCTCCAGAAGCAAATATATCTTGACTGTCATTTTCGCCTGTGTTGCATGAATGAAATACCAATCTGGGGTCTTGTCTTTTGAGTTTCAACAGCGTTCACATGTGGGATACTCCCGTTGTCATTACTTCTAACTTTGGATTCGAAGACTTTATTTGAATGGAACGGAATATTGTTAAAGCTGTTATTGTTTTTATCATCTAGGGTGTATGGGGTCTGGATTTGTTTCTTGCCTGTGGTAGAGAAACATCTTTTGCATTGGAGTGTCTTTTTCTTTCTCCTTTTCCCTAGTATCTGCTCTTCCAGGTGGATTTGTGCTTCTTTATGTACATACGCCTTTATTTGATATCATAAGGCCTTTAACCCCTTTCTCTGATTATTTCCTGTTTAGATCTTCGAGTTACCATTGTACTCTTACTATAAGACCTTCACAGCCCCTCCTCTTGATCAGATCATTATATATCTTACGAGGTCAGGCATTTAGGAACTCCCAGGCTCTGTCATGATTGGCAAGTTCACTCAGTCATCTTCAATGATCTTTAAGAGAAAAGGTTACATATAGCGGGGCTGGATCTTGGAACCACAGCGACGCCACACCTTCCCTAGCCCCATCCTAAGTGGAGCTCATCTGATGCTAAGATTCACTTCACTGATTTGCTTCACCTTAAACCCCCTTATGGATGCATTAGCGAGAGAAAGAGTCAAAAAGGGTCCATTCAGGGAGATTAAGAAAGAATAATTAACTGGACAGTATCTGCGTGTACAATAATTATAAGCTTGCATGCATTTTTTCTAAAAAATTCTAAACAGTGCGTGTATATCTGATTATATATAGTTACAGAAATCTAAGTTTGCATGTTGTTGAGTGACTCCCAAAAATTGAAAATCGATACCTCATCCATCAGCGCATCAATGGCATTTTCGTCGATTGTTATTCCTGCCATAGGATCTTCGACAGAAACATCCTGCGGTGGCGAAGACTCAGATGCCAACTCAGGCATAACGGTTTGAGCCACATAATTTGGGAAAATATAACGGATGGCTTCGAGAAAGATACCTCGGAAGACCGAAGAGCAGGGGTGGGTGTGTTGCATCTGTTCCAAGACTATCATGCACACCTCAATTTTGTTGAGACCCAAACGTCGGGAAACGGGATCGGCAGATTTGCAGTTCAGGAGGTGGACGTGCATTGCTGGGACTAAGAGCGGTGGCCTGGAGTGATTGTTAGATACAAATTGTCATTTGTAGGATAGTTGCGCACTCACGTCATAGGACCCGAGAATTCTAACAGCTTCTCGTGTGCTAGATTATCAAGGATGGCATTGGTCTGTAGCGCAGCTGTATTGATCTGATTTCGGACGTGAGCTCGCCATGCTTCCTGGCGAGATGCCGGCAATCCTTCAGGGTCCTTTGTGATGAAAGGACGGTAAAAGGTGATTAAGAATGCTCTTTTGGCTGTCAGCTGCAATAATTTTATCGATGGATATGGTGTCAATACTCACTGGTAATGAAGTTGCAAGTGATACAAGTAAAAGGTTGCGAGTGAACTCTGGCCCGTCTCCTGATATTCGGGAAGTTGAAAGTTCAAGACCTTGTGCTCAAGTGCTTCAACCTGCTGGAAAGACGAACTGACTCCAAAGGGTTGGTAGCATAGGGTTAGAGTGTCTCCCAAAAGCTGAGTGAGTTCAATTATTGTCACCCAATAGTCTGCCAGCTGCGGCAGGTCTTTCGGGACATATGCTGCCGATATAGATTCGGGCAATCCGGTAAAATCACTCAACATATCATCTGCAGACGGCGGTACGGTATTACAGTCATTCATGTTGATTCTCAATGGACGGCCCATTGTGAGACTTAGCCAACGGTCTCGGAAGAAACAGGTCCACCAAAGGCGGCGCCAAAGACGCTGCTGTGCTCCGCTGACAGGTGAATTGGCACAGACCGCAGCGGAGAAACGATGCAGACCCATTGTTTGGCAAAGGCTAATGGCAATACCAAGCCAAAACCACGGTTGGGTGTATGTATCAGCTTCAGAGTGGTAAAATCCCAAGAGAAGTGCTGATTGTAGGAGAACTGTGTGATCTGTCTCACCCCCATTATGATGTAGGCACTAAGAGTAAGTCATTAGCCAAGAACTTTGGGAATAGATCAAATACTGGGTTGTGTACCTTTGCACGAGAGTACATAGTTTCCTTCATCGCTTTCATGGACGAAAAGCCCTCTTGTTTCCAAATTTTGGCCGGAACATGCTATATCTACGTTAGCTAGATTGTAATGCCACTCAAAGCAGGTAGGCCTCACATTCGCAGCAGCATAGAAAATGCTCCATAGTAATATGAGATTGTATGGTTGACTGTCTCCGCCGGGATAGAGGCGTGGAAGCGTCGTAGCGTCAATCACCGGCATAATGGGATGTACATGATGAAAGTATGCCCGCAGAAGTTCATCGCATGTTTCTTTTCGGGGCATATTGAAGACTCCCTTGTACTGCAAGTATGCTTTGTCCTCGGGAGATAGCGAGGCGGATGTCTTGGAAGTGAGCATGATATGCCTTGATAGAGGCTGCTCCGAAGGCGAGCATATGTCAAAGACAGCACCGAATCCAGGCGAATCACCTTGAGTCTTGGGTTAGCTTCAAGTAAAAACACTCGCACGGTGACTACAGACCTGTGTAAAATGGCGCTTGGCCAGGGTTGTGATTTTTCCCGAGGACTTTGGTGGCGATTTCAACGCCAGTCTGCTCTTCATCGTGACGCCGAGAATAATCAGGGGGATTAGATACACTCCTCATTTCAGTCAGTTCAGGGCGATCTACATTTTGCGAAGGCGTTTCATTTGGAAATGAATGAAGTGGAAGTGACTGTGGAAGTGAGGATTGTGGAAGTGAGGATTGTGGGAGTGATGATTGTGGTATCAATGCATTGGAATCTGTGTTATGGGGCGGGCTGCTAACAGACGCAGTTCGACGTGTATGTCTCTCGCGTATGCTATTATCTGTCAGCGATAAGCTCCTATCAATCTGGAAGCAAACCTGACGTTTGGGTTTTTGTCGGCGGAACGTGGCATTCTCTGCCATCTTGCGTACAGCCTATGCATGGGATACCGGTCACCGTCACGCTACAGCGGACTTTGCGCTGACGGCAATTTTGACAGGCAGCAGCCGATCGATAGCGACGTGTAGACATGATGAGTCTGCCAAGTATTGGTGTATCGGTCTGCCGAGAAGGTCGGGTCGCCGAGTGTCGTCAAGTATATTAAAAGTGATCCGAGACAGCCGAGGCCCAGCAGCATTCCTTCCCGAGAGTTCCGAGGTAAGTATTTTCTATGCAATGTGGCTGAGATCTGAGATAAGGAGAAGAAAAGGCTATATTTACCACGAAAAGATAGAGCGACAGAGAAGAAGAGAAAAGGAGAACTAAAAAGATGAGATTCTATCTACAGGGACAAAGGTCGAGGTTGTTACACGAGATGTCTGACGTATCTTTGTGGCCTGAGGCATCACAATTCTTAGCCCTACATAGGATGGAAGTTTTTATAATAAAATTCATACAATATATATTCAATATAAATGCCAAAATCACAAAATATCTAGTAGTTATAATACATGAGGGCTATCTACAGGATAGTAATTCCAGTAAAGGCCCGGTGCTCATCGGAGTGGAGCTTCTCCTTGTTCTTGCCATCCAGGTCGCAGCGGTAGATAGATCCGCCGAGATCAGTGAGATAGGCATGAGAATTGACTGAATCCAACTTGAGACCAATTGCCTCGTTCAGACCCCTGGTGAGGATCTCGTACCCCCGAGGGGAATTGGCTGGTAGCAGGAGACCATCTTCACCCAACTTGGCTCTGTTCAGCGAGTTGCCCCACGGGATTTCACCACGATCGGTCCAGTAAAGTGTGTTAGAGGCTTCGTGTACCTCAAGATCAATTGGCTCGGGAAGATCAGCGATAACACACTGGACGTCGCTACGAGTAGTTGCTGACTGACCCTCAGGGGTTGTGATATTGGCGCAGAAGATGCGGCCTTCGCCACCCTTGGAGGCTCCCTTCTGGGTCCAATAGAATTTACCCTGGCTGGGGTTCACAGCAACTCCCACGCACCAGGCGGAGATACGCTGCTCGGGGGTCATATCACGGCCAGTGTTATCAATCAAAACCTCCAGGTTGGAGCCGTCGAAGGCACAACGGTAGACTCGGCATCCTTCACGGTCACAGAAGTAGACGGTCTGTGCCTCGGAATCAATGACCAGCTGCTTTGGTGTATCGATGGTTCCTGGGGCAACAAGTGTCTTGATGTCGGTTCCATCCACGTTGGCGGAGTAAACGGCACCGTCGGGCTTTCCGGGAACACCCATGCAAGTCCAGAACATGCGGCCAGAGGCTGAGTCTACAGCGAGTCCATCAGGCAGGGATTGACCTTTGAGGATTGATGTCTGCTTCTGGCCATCTGCGGAAACCCGGAGGATCTCTCCTGATGTCATGCTGGGTGCGGCGGCTGACAGTCCAAGGTCCAACACCAAGATTTCGGGCTTCTTTGAATCGGCACTGGTAGGAGCTGGGCTGCTAGCAGGGTACAGGCCACCCTTGGAGCACTTTGTTCCCAGCTTTCCGTGATCCAGGTAATTGGCCTTCAAGAAGTCGACAGTCTTCTCGGGAGAAAGTCCACGTTCATCCACGTAGTGACCCTCAATGAAGGCAACGGTGTCTAGGCCAACATCTAAACAATTTTCTGTCAGTGAACAAATTCGCATAAAGTCAAGGAGGGAGAGGGAAGATCTTACTGTCCATTGTCCGGCAGGGCAGAGTGCCTGCCTTGACAAACAATTCACCCCACATAGCATCAATCTCCTCGGGAACCGAAACACCCTCAGCCAAGATAGTCAAGACCTCGCGCTTCACGGCAGCCCACAAGCGGTTGAAGATGAATCCAGTGGACTCCTTTCTTGCGACATATGGGTTTGTGGCAGCTTCCTTGCATTGCTGAACCATGAAAGGGAAGATCTCTGGGGTAGTGTGTCCATTGGTCATAAGCTCCACAATCATACACGCCGGCGGCATATAATAGTGCATGTTAAGAACGCGGGTCTTGGTGGCATCCGAGATCTGACCGATCATCTCGGAAGTCTTGTATGAAGATGAGTTGGAAGCTAGGATGCAGTCGGCGGGAGTGAGGGCCTCCAATTCGGCGAAAGTGGCGATCTTGAGTGCGAGCTTCTCAGGAACAGCCTCAATGACAAGCCAGGCATTCTCAACGGCTGACTTCATGTCTTCGACGGCTTCGTATGATCCGGGGACTTTCTTGGTTTTGGTGGCGTATGATTCAACATTTTCCTTAATGTAGGCGATTCCGTCGGCTCGCTGTTGCTCGCTGGGGTCGCGAATCTTAACATCGAAGCCGGCTGAAGCCCAAATGCATCCTGATGGCAGAAATTTGTCAGTATTTCTATCTATTGAATAACATAATAGATGGATGGGTGGGATACGGACCTACTCGGCGGCCAAGTACACCTGCGCCAAGAATGGCAACAGTGCGGCTGCGGTAGTTGCGAGGGGGTTCCCAGGATGACATATTGTAAATAACGTAAGTGGTTCAGGTATAAAGGTATAAAGCAGTCTAGTTGGTGATGTATTGGTTCAATGGCAGTGGCAGGTGAGTTCCTTTTATGTCCTGTTGCATTTCCATTACCATTGCTCTTCCGTGTATCCCTCGGAGGTCCACTATCCACTACTCAAAACCAGAAAGGGAATCAAGGAAGTTCGTCACTGTCAACAAGACACAATACCGAGGATCATCTAAGTTGGTTCATTCCTCGGAAACTCCAGTTTCGGGCCGTGGAACCGGAACAGATAAGGTTGGGAGGCGCGATTGGGGCGAATGCTTAATGTGGACCTGTCGATCTCTTAGCTGAGCCCCATTATATTGTGGAGATCGCGATGCCGAGGTAGTCTACCTCGGCAGGTACGCCCCTGTTTGGAGTTGAATGTTAATCAGAAAATCTTTATAGGACAGAAAGAATAAATAGCTCATTTAGTTTCTAAAACTATAAAGGATTTGTCTTCAGCGTCACGCTAAAATCACAAACACACCCTCATTGATATTGCATCCATACACAATGGCAGCTTTGAAAGAATTTGATGCGAGCGAAGTCGCAACTCACAAAACAAAAAATGATCTTTTCGTCATCATTCATGGAAAAGGTAATGCTTCCATTCCCACAATATCTTGTTCAACCTTCTAACATACTTAGTGTACGACATCACAAACTATGTGCGAGACCACCCCGGTGGTGCGGATGTGTTGTTAGATGTCGCCGGCACAGATGCAACAGAAGCATATGAGGACGTCGGTCACTCAGAGGATGCAAATGAAATTATGGAGTCATACCTCGTCGGCACCGTCAGTGATGGACACGAATTTGTTCAACGCAAGGTTGTTCGTGTGATCAAGCCAACCTCCGAAACAGAGACGCCCAAGAACTCATCCAGCGTCCTCAAAGCTGCAACAACAATTACTGCCGCACTTGCTGCCGGTGCGCTGGTTTATGTCTCTTCCAAGAATCACCGAGCCCTGACCGAATTCATCGCAAAGCACACCCCGGCCTCCCTACAACTCTCCGAGGTTCGCCTACCATTCACAAGCCTTCTGCGTGGTGGATTTGTGAGCGGAGTCACTGCTGCCACTCTAGCTTGCACTACGATCGGCGGGGTCATCGGAATCAAACTCTCAAAGTTCACCGAAGTCGAGTCTGGGTTCACAAAGTACCGTCCATACAAGAAAGCCTCGGCCATGAAGAAGCAGGACCCACATCTCGTGAAGGGCTTCCTCGAGCCCAAGACCTACAAAAAGCTCCCCCTCGTTCAGAAGGAGCAATTATCGCCCAATGTGTACCGCTTCGTTTTCCAGCTGCCCAATAAGCGGGACGTGATTGGACTCCCAATCGGCCAGCATGTCGCTATTAAGGCCATGATCAACGGTGCCGCTGTCTCGAGATCCTACACCCCGACATCCAATAACCTGGACCTTGGAAAACTGGAGCTAGTCATCAAATGCTACCCAGATGGCCTTCTCACTGGACAATACCTCGAGTCTTTGGAAGTTGGTGATAAAGTGGAATTCCGAGGCCCGAAGGGCGCGATGAAATATCACAGCGGTCTTTGCAAGAAAATTGGTATGATCGCTGGTGGAACCGGAATCACCCCGATGTACCAACTTATCCGCGCGATTTGCGAGGATGATCGGGATACGACTGAAATCAGCCTGATCTATGCCAACCGAAGCGAAGAGGATATTCTTCTTCGTCGCGAATTGGAGTCATTTGCACGAGGATATCCCAAGAACTTCAAGCTCTGGTACATGCTTGACCATCCCTCTGACGACTGGGCATATGGCAAGGGATACGTTACAGGGGAAGTCATGGCTGCAAGATTGCCTGGCCCAGCACCTGATACCAAGATCATGCTTTGTGGCCCACCAGGTATGGTGAATGCTTCAAAGAAGAGCTTGGTGGCTGCGGGCTTCAAGGCTCCTGGCGCTGTTGGAAAAATGACCGACCAGATCTTCTGCTTCTAGTGTGTTTCTGGTCAAATACTCTGCTTGTTCCATGTTTATAAATTGTGCTGTATATTAGAGCTGTATGTGAATTCAATGTGTTTCCTCTTAATATATTTCAGAAATGTTTCATTTTAACTTATATGCCATCTAGAGGCAGACAGATCTCATAACAGTCCTACGTAATTAAGAAGAGGGGCCACATATGCGGACGATTGATTTTGTCCCATGTATACATACGTAGAAAAGTCCGACGTCTTACACCATTTCCCTTTTCCTGCGTGCTATGCACAACCGGGGCTGCCTCCCTTCCCGGGCCCTTCAGGACTGGAGCCACGTAGGCATATATGCACAATAGATCTTGATAAAAACTTGATATCACCATAAAGACTAATCCTTAACACTGCGTGAAAATCCGAATCCTACTTAGGTGCCGTACATAATGTTAGAAGACAATGTACAAACAAGCCTATGAGAAATCAACTGCGAAATTAGAGCTAAGCAGCTAGGTCTAAAGTATACAGGCGTGCGTGAATAAGGCGGTAAAAAAGGAGAATAAATTATTTGGGTTAGCGCAATGACTTCTAAAGCCTGTCATAGGTAGACCTATAAAACCGAAAAGGGGACACGTCATCTGAAAAGAGGACATCAAAAGAATATCTTACAAGACCAAAATGACATCACAAGGCCGCATAAGCCGACTATTCTTGTGTTTCTATTCTAGACCCCCTGAGTAATGTTTTGAAAGTAACGATTAGAGAATGGATGATTGCGTTTCCGTCACCACATCCCAATATCGAGATGTTCCGTAAGATTCTAGCCTTCTACACGGAGTACTCCGTAACAGGATTGTAGATACGCAAATGGCCAATGGAATGGGGCGTTTTCAAATGCCGCTGGATCCAGCTATTTCTGTGTAGCTCCACCATGAAGATCCCGCTAGATAATTACCGAACTTGAATAAGGACCCTTGGAAAAAAAAAACTTGCTATCATGAAGATTGCCTTTCCGAGGTATACTCGATTTCCGAGGTAAATAGGACCAATCGGAAAGATCTATATGACCCACATCCCGAGGAAGGGTGGATCCCGAACTATGAAACGGCCGGGATCCCGTCTTGATGACCATTGCGCAGTCGATATATAAGTTTGGATTCCTGGATTGAACTGATCAGAATCACAAACACTCAAACACAATGCCTGCTAAGCAATTTTACTTCCTGGGGGAGCCAGTCTCCTCCGCCAGAAACATCGATGTCGACCCCAAAAGTGATTTGGGTGCACTTAAGGACTTGATTGCAGCTCACTTTGCAATTGTTGAGTCAAGTGGTAAGTTTTGAAGAGGGGTTTCCCCCTTAATTCCAGTGCTTAATGACTGACCTGGGTAATAGGTATCGATTTCCAAGCCCAAGACCTCCCCCTGAACGAGATCACCGAAATCACTTCGGCCGAAACTCCCATCGCCATCACCATCGATGGAAATGCAGTCCGTGACCCACCTGGCCCGAAGGGTCTCCCCTATGTCGGAAATTTCTTTGAAGTCTACCCAGACCACCTTGGCAACCACCAGCGTCTCTTCGAACAATACGGCCCGGTCATCAAGACAACCAATCTCGGCCGTGTAACCTATCAAACAAACGATCCAGCTATCTCTGCGATCGTCTTTGCCGAGTCCGACTTTTTCACCAAGAAGATCAATGAGGCCCACCCCCTCTACCCTCTGAAGCAGCCCGAGGCTGGTGTCTTCCTGGGAGATACCGATACTCCTGAGTGGAAGGTTGCCCATAAGTTTTTGCCTCCAGCTCTCGGCCCCAAAGCTGTCCGTCACTATGCGCCCACAATGCAGAAGACGGTGGAGGATTCCTTCAAGGTCTTTGACGACTTTGATGAGCAGGGTGAAGCCTGGAATGTTTACCAGTACATGTTGAAGCTCGGATCTCAAGCTGTTGGCAAGCTCACGCTTGGTTTGGATTTCCAACATTTCTCGAATCGGGACGCACAAATGCACGAGATGGTGCACTTAATTGCTGGAGTTCTTTCTCTCAATAAGAAAGTCTCGTCTAAGGGAGATTGGTATGGAAAACTGCCATTCGGTGATCCTAAGAAGCTTAAAGACTACAAAAACAGAGTGGAACAGATTGTCGGGGAGACAATCAAAGAAGCTGAAAGCGGTGGCCTTGAAGACCTACCATTGCAAGATGCAGCGCTGAAGGCGTCTAACATGATCGGTAAGTCGCTACCATATACCACCTACTCCGCTTCTTAAATGTATGAATTCTAACAAAAATTTCAGACTATGCCATTCGCGCAACCGACAACAAGGGCGAGAAATTACCCCAGTCAAGCTTGATCTGGGCTCTCGTCGTCGCAACCGGAGCCGGCTTCACAACCACCAGTTCCCTTCTGTCCTGGCTCATCTACGGTCTTGTCACCTACCCGGGTATGCAAGAGAAGCTACTCCAAGAACTCATCGACAACGACATCGACGAGAACACCGTGATCACAGCAGATGTCACCGACAAGCTCGATTTCCTCGACAAGTACATCAAGGAGACCCAGCGTCGTCACAACCCCAGTTTCCAACCAGGCCGAACTGCCAAGGTTGACCTCGTGCTTCCGGGAGGATACAAGATCCCTAAGGACTCTGTCATTCTTCCCGCTCTGCACCACATCCACAACAACCCCGATCTGTGGGATAATCCTAATCAGTTCAACCCCGACCGCTGGGACACCGAGGAGGTCAAGAACAGACACAAGGCTGCGTACATCCCATTCGCCATGGGCCCCCGCATGTGTATTGGATTCAACTTTGCCTTGCAGGAAATCAAGGTCTTCATTCCCAAGCTCATCTTCCGGTATAAGTTCATTCGTGAGGGCAATGATCCCATCGAGTACGATCCTATGTTCCAGTTGATTCGGCCCAATAACCTCTACGTTCGCGCGGAGAGAAGGGTGAAGTGGCCTCCCAAGTCGGAGACAGCGGGAACGGAAAATGTTTGAGAGTTCCAGAATGGATTATAT